TTGTTGGGGTGAAATGTGAACTCATGTTCCAATGATTCCAAATTAGACAAATTCAACTTGTCAGTCCAGAGTACAAGCTTAGCCAGCTGTAAAGGGATGCACAGGGCCTCTTGAGGGAGTGGTAGAATCCTTACTTCTTGGATAGAGATCTGGGGGAACATTGTTATGACCCACTTCCCCAAACAAGTTGGTCAAAGCTGGAAGTAACTGCATAGGATCTCAGGTTAAAGTTGCTGACAGACTGAGTTTCTCCAGCATCTGAAGTTCTGTTTTTATTGCAGAAACAGACAGCATGTTGAGCTGTGGCATATGTACATTTCTGGAATACACATGGCCCATTGCGAGTTTGCAGAGTCTGTCGCATTGCATCAGAACAAAGTTAGAGTTGCAGAAGTTACTGCATATTTCTGATGTGCAATCAGGCAGGCTGATATTTGATAAGGTTAGATTGTGACGAGAGCTGGATCACTAGCTTTCAGACTCTCCCAGGCCATAGAAATATTGATCTAGTAATCCTGGTCTTGACAGGAGCAGATTGACCATCATGGTCTTGAGAAGTTAAAACCATTAGCCTTTCCATCAAGTCCTTACCCATCCACCAGGAGACTCCACTGCACCTCATGGTCAGGGGCTGGCACAGGAGTTGCCCAGCAGTCACGCAATCTCAGGACAATCATTGGGTCAGTGCGATCCTTCACACGAACCTCAACAAACACCGACTCCCGAAGGATTCTCTCAATGGGGTAGTCACTGTCCTTGTACCACAGCCTGTAGTTGCCATCTGACAGAAACAAGGAGAACAAACCAGTCACTCCCTGAAGGAATACATTCCTGGTGCTCTATTAGGAGGGCAGCACTACCTTTTGCTATTTGCAGTTCCAGCCTCAGAATCCCATCTTCAGAAGCAGCTAGTGGTGGAGGGAGTGTGTAAACTGAGACATTGATTTATAAGCCAGCCTCACGCTCCCCCTTGTACTTGCACTGGACGTGCAGGCTGTCGAGAGACACAAATAGGTGGTGGCGTTTCAGTCAGTAACACTTCCATCTACATACCAACAAACCCCACTGCCCTTTCACCTGAAGATGCTGTCCCTGTTTATTGAGCCCTATAGCCCCATCTGAATCATCCTCTTCCCCAAGATGTCAGTTTCATACACAAAGCTTCCAGTCTCCTCCTGCAATGGAGGGCACTGTTTAATAGGGAGCTGGCCCATTCAAAAGGGACAGAATGCCAGACCCTCCAATACTCACCCACTGGGTCAAGCCACAAGAGACAATTGGGAAGCGGAAGGCTACAAGTTCCTCTGTGATGAGCAAAGGCCTGCACTCAGCTTCTTGTCCATCTTTCACGTACAGAGATGACAGGTTGAGGGCAGGAAAGGTCAGGTTCCTGGCGATTGCAAGAATGAACTGGCCATCTGCTGTACATACTGCAATGAAATACAATGCAAGGGTTTGAGAATGAATTCCCTTCTGAATTCACATTGGAAACTGATTCAAATGTTGATGGTCAGTGTCCAGAGGGTTCCACAAAGTGAAGTGTGGTGTGAAACCAGGATTGACAGGAAATAGACTGAACAGAATTGGCAGGGTCATAGCCGTCCCCTCGCTTCCCCAAAAGGGAATCTTGACTGTGCCAGAGACTACAGCAACAGAGGGGATTCTGAGGGACAGGATTTATATGTATTTGGAAAAGCAAGAATTGATTAGGGATAGTAATCATGGCTTTGTGCTTGGAAGTCATGTCTAACATGACAGCTTTTTGAAGAGGTGATAAAGACTGATGCGGGCAGACCAATGGATATTGTCTATATGGAATTCAGTGAAGCATTAGACAAAGTTCCACATGGTGTCTGGTGACTAACTAGTCAATTGGATTGACATTTGGCCCGCAAGTAGTAGAGAGGGGGACACGGTGGAGATTTATTTCTCAGACTGAAGTTCTGTGACCAGTGGTGTGCCGCAAGGATCAGTGCCTGTTCCACTGCTTTCTAATTTATGGATATGATTACAGGAGGTATTGTTACCAAGTTTGCAGATGAGACAAAAATTAGGTGCACTGGACAGTAACAGTATTCAGTCCAACGGGATTTCAGATGGGCCAATGGGCCGAGGAGTGGCAGATGGAGTTTAATTCAGATCAATGAGGTGTTGCATTTTGGCAAGGCATTTCAGGACAGGACTCCTACACTCCACGGTAGTGCCCTCAAGTGTTGCCAAACAGAAACCCAAGGGGTGCAGGTGCATAGTTCCTTGAAAGAGGAATCCCATGTAGACTGGGTCAAGGCGGTGCTTGGCATGCTTGCCTTCAGACCAAGGAGTACAGGACATAGAGACCACTTCTGGAACACTGCATACAATTCTGGTCACCCTTCATTTGAAAGCATGTTAATATTGAAAGTGCAGAAAGGATTCACAACAGTTTTGCCAGGGCTGGAGAGATTGAGCTATAGGGAAAGGCTGGGGCTATTTCCCCCAAGCATCATAGACCAGGTGACCTTACAGGTTGACAAAATCATGGACAAGGTGACTAGCCAATGTCTTTTTCCTCGGTTGGAGAGTCCAAAACTAAAATGGGACTAAGTTTAAGGTGAGAGAGGGGAAATGAGCGAAGGATTGGAGAGTTATCTTTCCACATAGGATGGTGTGTGTATGGAGTGAGCTGCCAGACAGAAAGTGGAGGAGGCTGGTACAATTACATTTAAGAAAGGCATCTGGCTGGGTATAGGAATAGGAAGGGTTGAGAGATACAGGCCAAATGGGACTAGATCAGATTGGGATGTCTGGACAGCAGGGTAGAACCAGAGGGTCTATTTCCATGCAGTTTGACCAAAATCTGGGTAAACATGGTGCCCAGTAAACATTTGACTGGGCACAGCATCCCATGTATAGTGGATAGAAGAGGTTTTATTTAAGTCAATAGACCACCATAGGAGTTCAGACTGTTCCCTTGACTGATCAGGGATCAAGTATTATCCCTTCCCCATAGTTTGTTCCAATTGCATGTTTCTAGCATCTGCGTTGTTAGTATTTTGCCAACCCACTCCATTTGTAGAGTCAGTTGTTCACCCATGGGACATGGACATGACTGGCTGACCAGCATTTATTGCTTGTCCCCAGTAGCCTTCAGGTGATGAAGAAAATCTGGGTTGGGCAACTGTTGGGAATAAAGGTCAGAGTAAGCTCATTAGTAATGAGGCAGGTGCCTTGTTAACTCTTTCCAGAGAGTCACAACTACATGTTAGGATTAAAATTAGTTTAATTTTACATTCCTCAAAAGGGAGTGGTCAAAATAGTGACCAGATGACATCAGACAGGGGAGATTACATCACCTCAAAAAAAAAGCCATCTTAGTTTGGATAATACACCCAGCCATTAAAGCAACGGAACAAGAGAAAGTCTATGATTACCTTGAACCATGAGTCTCATTGACTTGGGAATGTCAGTGGGTTGCCTCTAAAAATCACAGATTCCTGGCTAACAAGACAAAACACCCTTAACGTGAACAAGAAATAAGCAGGCAGCCTTCAGAGGCCAAGTTAGTTCCTCCATAAAGAAAAAAAGGACAACTCATAGGACAAGCTCGAAGAGGATGCTTTTTACTGGAGTGTTTATACTGTCCCATTGCACAATAGTGGTGAGTAACCAGTCTTAAACTGTTTCTTCATTACAAGAACCAACTAACTGGTCAAGGTTCCTTTTAGCATTAGGGGTTTTGTAGCATTTATCAAGGTCATCATCATAGAATCCCTACAGTGTGGAAACAGACCCTGCAGCCCAACAAGTCCACAGCATCCCACCCAGACCCATCCCCCATTAGCACACCTGGTGTACACAGCCCTGAGTACGACAGACAATTTAGGTGGCCAATCCACCGACCTGCACATCTTTGGACTGTGGGAGGAAACCAGAGCACCCAGAAGAAACCCACACAAACACAGGGAGAATGTGTAAACTCCACACAGACAGTTGTCCAAGGCTGAAATCAAACCCAGGTCCCTGGTGCTGAGAGGCAGCAGTGCTAACCACTGAGCCACTTTCAGAACAGGAGCCCAGGATACCAGTTCCAAATTTGTTTTTGATGGTTGTCAAGTAATGCACAACAGTAAGTAATTGCTTACGTGCTATCCAGGCAAACCTTGCCTTACACAAATACATCAGGGTAAAGGAATAAAACACAGAACACTGTTACAGCTACAGAAAAAGATCAACCCTGGAGATATTTGTTCTGAAAAGTCAAAATCAGTCAAAGTAAAAGATACTTCCAGTCTCCCCCAGCCCCACCAGAAACATGGTGGGGTTGGGGCGGGGAAAAGGAGGTGCTCAAAGTGGCAATCAAGACAACACCGCAGTTAATAGAACATTAGTACTGAACTGAAATCACGAAGTTTTACATGACAATACAATCGCACCCAAGAAAAGGCGTAAGCATCGATACTTCGCACCAGTCACTATTACACCACAAGGACATTGGAGGATAACATCCCTGGGTTATTATCTCATTTACCGGAAACAGATGGATGTGTGCCAGATATACATATATACTCACACACATACACACATCCTCGCTGCGGGATGCGGGAGGGGGCTGCTTACCCGGGCTCTCTCTCAGGTTGTAGAAACAGGGCTGCCCACTGAGTCTCGGTGACTCAAAGCAGCAGCCCTGCTTGATACAGTCAGTGCTGTTGATAGCGGGCGGGCCACACGGCAGCCTCCAGGCCGGCTCCGGGTCACAAGGAGCAGAGGCCAGGAGGGGCAGAGCAGCCCCAAGGCACAACCAACGTCCCATCGCGCTCCCTGAATCTGTGCAGGGGCCTGAGCACCAGCCCGCTTTATAGCCAGCAATGAGCTCCCGGCCCACGGCTTTCTCGTGTTTAAGAAGCTTTAGCTGTCACTGATCCGAATTAAGGATTAGTGCGAGATTCCTGCTTCAATTACATCTTGACAAGTGACCCTGGGTTCCACTGAGCGCAAGATTTTTGTTTGTTCCAGAATCGGTTCTGCTTGGATATGGAAGTAGGAAAGAGAGTCAGAGAATTATGCCGGTGCAGAGGAGGCTATTCGGCCCATTAGCTGTTCTGTTCCCTGTGCTGCCTTTTCCCTCTCTCCCCACACAGTATTATCCAAATAACCTCCCACAATGTCTCTCCTGAATGCCTCTACCACATTTCCAGGCAGTGCATTCCCTACCCTAACTACCCGCTGTGTGTAAAAACCTTTTCTCACTTCACCCCTTCCACATCATTTGAAATCAATGCACTCTTGTTCTTTCTGTTACCAGTGGGAACATCTGTGGAAAGAAACACAGTTTGGAATCTGATCTGATTTCTTCAGAACTGACAGGTGTTGGAAAACTGTTTTTGTATTGTCTTTTCTTTATTCGTTAATGGGACGAGGGCATCACTGGCTAGTCAGCATTTATTGTCCATCCCTAATTACCCTGAGGACGGCTAAGAGTCACCACATTGCTGTGGGTGTGGAGTCACATGTAGGCCAGACCAGGGAAGGATGTCAGTTTCCCTCCCGAGAGGACATTAGTGAACCAGATGGGTCTTTCTGACAATCAGCAATGGACTGGTGGTCATCATTAGATCCTTAATTCCAGAAATTTTTATTGAAATCAAATTCCACCGTCTGCCATGGCAGGATTTGAACCCGGATCCCCAGAATGTTTTCTGGGTCTCTGGATTAACAGTCGAGCGATAATGCCGCTCGGCCATCACCTCCCAAAGATATGGAGAAAATGGGTCTTCTCTGCTAAAAACAAAGTAAACAAGATACAGCCGTGTGGGGAGAGGGGAGGTTGGTGAGAATGCAAGAAAAGTGGAGGACAGGTGTCTAATTCAATGTTAAGTTCGAGAAGCTGTAAAGTATCTAAGTGGAAAATGAGGTGTTGTTCCTTGAGTGTTACAATATTGCAGCAGACCGAGGACAAAGGTGTCAGCATGAGAGCAAGGTGTTTTTTTAAAATTCATTCAGTCTGAGGCCATCACTGTCAAGGCCAATATTTATCACCCATCCCTAATTGCACAGAGGGCAGTTTAGAGTGAAGCACATCGCTGTGGGTCTGGAGTCACGTGTAGGTCAGACCAGGTAAGGATGGCAGTTTCCCTCCCTAAAGGGCATTATTGAACAAGATGGGGATTTCTGACAATTGAAAATGGATTCAAGGCCATTATTAGACTCTTAATTCCAGATTGTTATTGAATTCAAATTCCACCATCTGCCATGATGGGAGTTGAACCCAGGTCCCCAGAACATTACCTGGGACTCTGGGTTAACAGCCCAGCGATAACACCACTACCCTGTCACCTCCCCCGACTATTGAATGGTGAGCAATATGGCACCACCTCTCCCATTGCTTGGTGTGGTTCTGCCGCTGGTTTTGATGAGTAGAGGATAGATTGCAGTGGGCCTAAAACTGGGCTCTGAGAGCTGTAGCTGCAGAACTGTACAACCTCATAATCTGTAACCTGGTGGCCCTCACTCCCCGATCACCAACAACCCAGGATATTAACCCTGCTACAATGTAAGTGCAGATGAGGGGCCATTAGCAGCATATTGTTGGATTATATGGATCTCCAGGGTCACCAGCTGTGAGCAAATGGACTCCTTGAGGTTTCACAACATGACTTGCCCCGACTGTTCAGCCATTTGCTGGCCAGTAGATCCATCCTTGTGACTTGCTGTTTTGATCCACCAATTGGAAAGCATAATCAATCATTTTGTAAATGACAGTCAGCCAATCAGCCTTTATTCCCATTCACCATATTTTTATATCTAATCAACAGATACTTTCAAGAAATATGGCATCAAAGCAAAAACACCATCATTTTGACTGTCGCTATCTTATTTTCCTCGGATCACACTCGGCAGTGATCGAGAGATTGATTCTCAATTCCTGGAGAATCCAGTCTAAACCTGGAGCATTAGCAATCCCTGTATTGCCCCCAGTTTAGTGAGGCTATTGGGCACAGTTCTGATCATCAAAAGCAGCGAGGTATTCACCCATTGTTCAGCATTCAGCAGAACAAAGACCTTTCGTATCGAGTCAAGAATGGTGGTGGATAGGCAAACAGAGGAGCTGTCTGTCAAAATGTTGCCATCCTTTGGTACAAGAGCCCAGCACCTGAATAGACATCCCCTCAGTCACTGTACACAGAGAGATTTGGAGGACGGTGGGAGAATGTTGGAAAGTGTGGACTGGTTCGCTTTGGCAGGAATGAGTACAAAACAGGGTATTGTTTAAATGGAAAGAAATTGCAGAACTCTGAGGTTCACAGGGAGCTGGGTGTCCTGGTACATTCATCACAAGATGTTAGTATGCAGGTACGTGTGAGGCAATGCATTTAGGGAGGTCAAACAGTAAAGGGGAATATCCAATAAACAGAAATATACTGAGCAGGGTGGATGAAGGGAGAGATCTTGGCGTACAAGTGCACAGGTCCCAAAAGGTAGCAGTACAGGTAGGTAAGGTTGTAAAGAAGGCATATGGAATGCTCTCCTTTATTGGCAGAGGTATAGAATACAAAAGGAGGGATACAATGCTGAAATGTATAAGTCACTGGTGAGAAAAAACATTTTTACACAGAGCCTGGTGGGTGGATGGAATTCACTGCCGGAGTTGATGGTGGAAGCACAGACCCTAAACTCTTTTGAGAAGAAACTGGATCTGCACCTTAAATGCTGTAGGCTGTAAGATTATAGGAGTGTGCAAGAGAATGGGAGTACAAAGTACATCTGGATATCTTTGGGTCGGCCTGGACAAGATAGCCAGAATGTCTCCCACCTTCTGTTCTGTTTTGTTTCGATGGTTCTTGGCACAGTAACTATGTTGGAAGGCAAAGGGGATGGTATTGTTCATTGGAAGGGGGATGGAATATGAAAAATGGTTGTACAGGACAATGAAGAGACTGCAGCCAGATGCCTGAAGGCAGTTTTAGTCAACTTGTACAATACAGCACAGGAACAGGCCCTTTGACCCACCAAGCCTATGCTGATTCCTAGTCCTTATTTAGACTCACTACCTATTGCCTATGCATGGTTTCTATCCCTTTGTTCACCTCCCATTCACATGTCTACCACGAAATGCCTTACCTGTTGCTAATGTTCCCACTTCCACCACCTCCACTGGCAGTGCATTCCAGGCACCCACCACCCTCTGCGTGGAAAGTCTTCCCCACGCTTCTCCCCTAAACTTTCCCCCTCTCCCCTTGACTCGGGTTTAATAAATGATACAAGTGTAGTTCAGTGAATGTTCACTCCAAGGATTCTTGGACTGAGGAGATTATTTGATGGGTAACGGTTGGACGGGCTAAATGTGCCTTCATTAGAGTTTAGAAAAATGAGAGATGATCGTATTGAGGCATGAAGAGGCTGAGGAGACTCGACAGGACAGACACTGAAAGGATGTTTCACCTAACTGGAAAGACTAGGACAAGGGGACAGTATTAAAATAAGGGGAGGAAAAATGTTTTTTCTCTTGGAGGGTTGACAGTCCATGGAACTCTCTTCAGGGAAAGGTGGAGGTGAGGAAGTAGAGTCTGCAAACAGTTTCAAAATGGAGGGAGAGTGATTCTGGAATAACAAGGGAGAGACAGCATCAGGGCTGAGCAGGAAACAAGTAGAAACTACAAGCAGATCAGCAAATATCTGATGGTGCACCTGGCTTACACCTGCTCCTCATGAACATGTTCACGTTTGTCTGTATTTGAGGTGGAAAAGCTAAGGCACAAGCACTTGTAGTCAATAGGAGGATGTGGAGTGATGCAGAGGAAAAGAGCAGCCTTGACATACAGATTCACCTCATCCCTGAGCATGGTGGAAAAAAAAACACACATAGGGCTCAGGAAGAGATTCATAATCGTCAAGACTAGGAATTTATTTTACTGTCTTCGGAAATGAGGTAGCACATTTTAATACTAAACTCATCCTAGATTATTTCTGAGATAGTAAGAACTGCTGATGGTGGAGTCAGATAAGGGTGGAGCTGGAGGAGTACAGGGGACCAGGCAGCATCAGAGGAGCAGGATAGTTGATGTTTCAAGTTGGGACCATTCTTCAGAAATGGGGAAGGGAAGCTCTGAAATAAAGTGAGAGGGGGATGGCTGGGGAAAGGTAATTGGGCTGGTGATAGATGACTACAGGTAGGCAGGGGTGGGGATTGGTCAGTGAGGTGGAGCGGGGGAAAAAAAGGTGCAGAATGGACATGTCATCCAGGGAGCGGGAGGGGGAGGGCCTTCCCCTCAATGAAGATTGATTCATGTTGTAGGACCTCCATCTTACAGTATTGCTTGGCAAGAGACCCAAAAAACAAAATGCCAGCAGATGCAATGTTGAAGTATTTGTTCTATCAGTGTTAATTTTTCCAACCTTCCAAAAGAGGAAAGGAAGAAGGAGCCATAACTATCACAGCCTGATCTAGTCAGGAAGGTGTATGGAGAATGGCAAAAAGAGAATGCAGTTCCTGACACCTGCCATAACGAGACCGAGAAAACACATTTCATTGGTAGCTATTACTATTTACTAATGGGGGTAGCATGTATGGGGCAGACTTTGTCTACAATAAAGAAAATTAAATGAAACACTACAAAAAGGGCTGAAGTAAGGTAGTAAACAAGAATCAGGAGCATTCGGCGACAGTCAAGCCACAAAAGAGGGTGGAGGGGGGAAATTGGAACAAAGCCTCAGGAAGGTCAGGTTTCTCTATTCCTCCTGGTTCTC